GGAACTTTGTTATAATCTAAAACTATATTGTGCAAACTTAACAATATGATATTTCCTTTTTGGGGGCAGAATTTGGTTTCTGTTCCACTCTGTCCTTCCTGAATCTGGATGTTTTGGCTTGTGCTGTTATTTGATTATCATGGGAATCCTGAAGTGTGGCAATTCATTTATTACAGCAAATGTTGACTGCCTGTTTTCCAGTGGGAAAGGGCAGAACAAGGATAGGGCTTTAGGAGATGTTTCTATTAGTATATTGTAACAGCCAGAGAGAGGGAGAGAAACCCCTCCATCCGCACCTTCCTTTCGCACGGCTAGACGTGACAGTCACCATAGCAACCACTCGGCATGCATGCTCCCCATCGCTATCAAGTGAAAACTGCTGAAATCTTTTCTTCTGTGTTTTTGTGTTTTTCTCTTTCTTTTTTAGAAATTTGATTTTTAAGAATTAAAGTTTTATCCAAGAATCCTTCAGCTGAAGGTGAAACTTTATTTATAAGGTTTCCACATAAAAAAAAAAGCTTCCCCCAGATTCTCAGGTAGATAAATTATGTTCCTTGTCCCCATTTCCTCACCCATCCTCCCCTCCTTCTTTATACCCTCCTTTCAGGTCTCCCATGGGTAACGGAGGGTTTTCTCACACATTCAGACTGAAATTGTTAAAAATGTGTTGGCAGACGTACAGGAGGTGGATTTATGTAAACCTATGCTCCATTTCTGGCACATATAGAAAAGATGTGGAGCCTTTTTTTTTAAATTTGCAAATGATACCAAATGTTTTGAAAGAGTAATTTGTATTATAGATGGCTTGCAAAATGGGACTTCCCAAAAATAAACTAATGAAAGTTTTTCCCAGTGTGTGTGGATTCAGTACATAGCCATCCATTACCACTGTCTTGGACTTTGTGCCATCTCCACCATTTTCTTTATATATATACAATTTTAAACAAGCCATTTAATATGTGTACCTAATAAAGTGGCCGGTGACTGTGTGTACACACATATGCACATATACACACAGACACATCTGTGAGTAAAATTTACGTTTTAAATGAGCAAACTATTTATATGACTCTTTTTAATTGTATTTCATTCGCCTAAGCACCTTAAATTATGGATTGAATTGTGCATTTAGCCCGTCTGTAACAGCAAAAAAAAAGAAAAGAAAAAAAGGATCAGTCTGGACAGCCTGTCAACCAAATTTTCAGTCACACAACCCAGACACAACGTGACAGACATAACAGCTGCCCAAAAAGCCTTTACAAATCCTCAGTTCATTATAAGTACAGCATGTAAAAACAGTTATTATTCAGCCTTCTATCCAATAATCCGACACACATCCCCACAGTGGCAGTGTCTGTCTTCCCTTCCTCCTCTCACATCCTTCCCAAAGTTGCTCTCCCAGGAGCCTGGGAGCACCTCAGACAGAACTGGGTTAAGATTATACAAGATCCCAGCTGAGAATTCCCTGCAAAATATAAACTCCGTGAACCCCAAGTGGTAAATATTCATGAGAAACAGAGAAACAGTGGTATTCCAGCACAAGAGGGAGCAAACACATCGCCACACACAGGCATCTACAAACCATCTTCTAGTACAGACAAAGCCAAAACAACCGTGAACAGTAGACTGACATTATAGGGCATGTAAGAAACATATACACCCACACAAGGGAGGAAAAAAACCCTTGAGGATTTCTCATGCTATCTGTGTGTGTGTGTGTGTGTGTGTGTGTGTGTGTGTGTGTGTGTGTGTGTGTATATATATATATATATATATATATATACATATATATATATATATATCTGGCTACAGCACAAAAGCCACAAGTCATGTCTATCTGCGCAACCTTGTCTGGGAACTGAGATGTTTCACATGCTAGAGAGGAAAAAAACCACCAACGCCTACACGTTTTTTGCAAGAAAACTGCCAAAAATAGGGAGTGGGAAGAAATTTTTAAAATGTCTAGCTGTGATTTAATATATAACAATAACTGTTCATTTATCCACTTTACACTGTTGCTACTGAAAAAGGGGGGGAGGGGGGGGGAACATAGTTCAGGCTGTCTATCAGATGCCAACATAAAGATATGGATCAAATCAAATCAAATCAAAGTATCCAGTAAAGAAAGTCTCAAAATAATAACTAGTCACTATTTTTAATTAAATAAAAAAAAAAAACAATCTTATGTAATCATCTGTGGTTACTGCGGGGAAAAAAACCATATGAGTGTGTACGTGAGCCTTGTAAAAGTCTTTTAAATGATTAGTAAGAGGCACAAGTGCTATATTTATATCTAATCTGCTGCATGTCTAGAATACCTTTCACAAAACTAGTGAAAGGTACATTCTTGATGTGGTGTGCACGTACATAATCCTATCCAAAACCTCAACACCACTGTCCAGCTTGTGGGGTAAATCTAACTCTTTTGACCACTGGTCAGGAGTACTCCCCAAGCATCACATCACTGTCATTGTATGCAGCCGACTCAGAAAACCTGCAGTCCACAAGCAGGAAGAGAAACAACAGATCATATCCTGTGTGTGAACTGTGGTTTACAGCAAAAAGTGGGTGGGGGTGTGTAAAATTAGCTGGACTGTGAGAACTAAAAAGAGTGAGGTTGAAAGAAGAGACAGAATGGCCAATCAGATGAAGGAACATAAAAGAACATGGGGAGGAAAAGCGCTAGAGCCATTATTGGTTCAGCTTTGAGTGACTGTTGAGTGTAAAAACACTGACTAAACTAACACATCTCTGCCTCAGCATTGGCTCAGCTGTACAGCATATGAAGCCACGTTATAAAACCGAATAGCTCAATAAAACTGTGTACTTTTGAGCTATGACAGTAATATTTATTTGTGGGTGTGCCACAGTCATAGGCCAAGAATTAGTTGTCTAAGATTACTCATGTTGTAATAAAATCGAGTTAAAAAATACCAGACGAGTGACAAAAAAAAGGCTAAATTGTTCCAATACACACAAGCAAAATCCTAGGGGTTTAAAATTTACAGACGTTTCATCATAATGATCCACTTACCTCAGAAGGAAAAAATAGCTTGACTTTTAACTGCACAATGTTCACCGTGTATACAGGCTGCATACAAAGGCTGTATATAACAGCTTGTACATTTTTTGTAGCATCTAGTTTAGCATTACAGCCAATGTCATCATGGTTTTAGAAGTAATGAACATATTGTAAACTTTCTTAGCAATAAGCATATATAGACTGTGTGCAAACATTTTTTCTGGCTTTTCTACAAACATGGACGTCATTTGGGTTTGCTATGCTTTTGGAGACAGACTCAACTGGCCATTCAAGTTAGTACACTTAGCGTTACCAAGTGGGTGCAAATATTCAGTTTATTACTGCAATCTGGGTGAAAAAAAAGCTGTCTGCTGCAGTTAAACCAATGCCACAAGAACGCTTAAACTTTTTAAAGTAAAGTTTTATATAATGTGATCGATTGTTTATATAAATGGTTCTGCTCATAGGCACTTAAATGATTTCCTGCTTGGATACCGATTGATCTAATTGGCCTCTTCTGGATGTGGCCCATCTTTCCTCTGTCTAAGCTAAAAAGATGAAAGAACAGCTGTGGAAAGCATGGTGTAATAACCTGCAAACTTAAAAGCACTCAAGTCAACTGTGGGATCACCATGCAACAGCTGGACACCCCTATATGGTCCTAACCAAAGTGTGTTTTCAGACAGGAAGTAGGAGATGATGGAAAGAACATCCTGGAAATCTAAGTCAACAGGATATGGATGATTTGCAGGATAACGTTCAATGCACTCAGGAGCAATGAGTAGCCTGAAAAAAAGTTCTGAAACCTCTTTGAATCTTTTTCTTCAAAAGCATCAAATCAGCTGATCTGGTTTCGAGCAAAGCACAAGTAAATATTGCAATCTAGTCATCAGACGGAGATAACCTTGCATCCCCCACCCTACTCTCCTTCCAGGAAGGAGTGAGGTAAATGTTCTGTAGTGTGATCACTTGACATGCAACATGAAACGTGTAGGAGGAGATCTGCCCCAGCCTGGAGGGCTAGCAGATCAAATATGCAGAATGCATGGACCACAATGTCAATAATCCTGAAAATAAAAATAATGATAGTGTTGCATCGTGATATCCCAAACAGACCTGAGAGATTTCGGCCTAGTTTTTCAGGGTATAGCATTTACTGGTTGCCACAACTTAATTAATATCAGAAATAGGATTTCTTCTTGGATTGCAAATCATACAGATGCTCAGATTACAGATGCAAAACCACGGCATGTTACTTTATGCTGTTTTTTTATCTGTGTTGCAGTGACCTACAGGGAAACAAAGAGGTGGGAGAGGGGCTGCTGTACCCTCTTTAACAGGTAACAGGAAATTGGCCATTCAGCATATCAGCTACATTAGCTGCTCCAGTCAGCCTGCAGACTGATGGATGGCAAGTCACACTCGAGCTGCGACACCATTGATTTCCTCCTCATAAAACCCAAGACTGCTGATTCAAGATAATGCTACATTTTTAAAGGCTTTGCTGTGATATTGCTGCGATAAATTCAGAAGATTAAACTGATAAACAAGCTCAGACACACTGACCAATGAGATTTATTTCCAGTATAGTGATTTATTTGTCTGGTGCTGTTCATTATTTATTTACAGTCTATCATCAAATGTGTACTTTCATTTCTAGTGTGCTTTCCGCTGACTTCTAAAGAGATTATTCACAAGGCTGGAACATTCCTGCTATGAAACACTGGTGTTGTTGTCAGTAAACTGGAATGTTTCCTAGTAATAAACATATCGAGAGCCTTCATATTGTGTACTCCCAGTGAAGTACAGTCCCACTTAATGACATTTTTCACAGTACTTATCATGTCACAAAGTATTATGCTTCCACCGAGCTTCCACCGATTAAAAACGTCTTAATATTATCAGAAATAAAACACAATACTTTGATTTTTACAGCACAATAAATGAGTGAACTCAGTGGTATTGGTCGTCTCCTTACTGCAGTGGTCTTGGTTTGATTCCAGGCCTGGTCAGTGCTGCATGCCGCCCTCACCCTCTAAACCATTTCCAGAAACAAAAAAGGCAGTATGTGGTGAGTGCAGACACTCTTTATACAAGCACCACAGAAGCTTGAGGTTCACTTCCTGACAGCAAGAACATGAGCTCATTTGTTTGCTGTGTTTCATGTAGAATACAGTGCAGTTCAGTGTGCGTTTCATTTTCTAGTGCATGGACAGTTTTTGTGGTCGCAGGTTTTGAGTCGAGTAAAAATGCCATTTATTTGATTAAGGGAGACTTGTTGTTGTTGGATGCTCGTAATAAAAACAGCCAAAGTTTAAAATAATGTAGACGTGATCGTCGTGAGCTAACTCAGTCTTCATACTGCTTTGAACGCTCTGTTCAGGCATTCTTTTTGTTCATTGCGCTCTTTAACATTACTGCGTGTGGATAGCTTAATTTGGTCGATGGTTCCCTTAAAGGGTAAACGGGTTATTTTGAATCATGAAAATATGCTTTAGTGGAGTTTAACAAAAAAAATGAGTTAAATATGGCCTTTTATTCTCAATTTTAAGTGTGGAAAGCCGTTTTTATGAATACCAACGTGAAAACATATTGTGGCTAGGCACAGTATTATTACTAAGTTGTACCCAGTATCAGTCTTGGCTTTATTAAATAGGATGTTATAGGTTGCGGGCTTGTCAGACAGTCATGCTATCTGTCACAGGGATTACTGGTGTGAATCGTTGCGAAGAGCTGTAAACAAAAGGCCCCATGTGCACAGCTCTGAGAACAGAAGATAAGAAAGTGTAGGAGGGATTCTGGTTGGAGGGGGGGGGTTACTGATCACTGTGCCAAGCTAGGAGCTGTGTGATGGATTTCGCACACATCTTCTCATCTATCTCTGAATCCCTTTGTGATGAACAAAAAGCAAAAGAGCCCCCTTCTGAGTGCATTCTGATGAAAAGGAGCACTATTCATGTCATTTGCCCTCAATGCACATTGTGCATGGGTGAGCAAACACACCCCGTGGTGCTACGGGGTACAATTAATGTTTTTCAGGCACATGGGTCTCATGCTGGAATATTTTCAGGAATGGAAGAAAACCAAGGACACATGAAGCATTTCTCAAAGCTGCTAAAATTCAAAGTGAATCTATGGATATATCTGGCAAATCCAGCAACAACATAGAGGTGCATTGTCTGTCAGTATCGGCAAGTGCAGCATCTTGGCGGTACAAAAATCTGAACAGAGTAACGCTTGCCAAATGACATAAGCTGAAAGCAAGCCCCCTCCATTTTTAGAATTAGTGACATTACACAAGCAAATAACAACAGAGATGCCATGTCAGCCTCTCTGGAGGGTCAAAAATGCATGGATTAGACTGTCATTAATACTGAATCTGGATTATAACAATCCTGAGGCAGCTCAACTGCCACAGATTACTTCTATCCCAGCAAGGGCAATGACAGACAATGGCACTTTTTGTTCTCCTAGAACTGACAGTACCGCACAGTAACAAAGAGAGACTCATTTCTAATAGGGTCAGGAGTGATTAGACAAGCGGCAGAACTGGCAGCTCATAGAGAGACCCAAGATCTCCCAAAATCCACTAGTATCAGACAAGATTTGTCAGATCGATTGATGACCTAACTACAATTAGCCTATTAGTGCAGCTTGCCGTTGTAAAACAAGTTAAATTATCAGTCTACCCTTTGAAGATGTTTTATTACAACATGACGCTGTAGTGGAAACAGATTTAGTATTAACACAACACATCTTTGCAGGACCACTTAGCTTTGATACAAATGGCACCCATCTGTCTAGACATCATCACATATCTTGTGATGACAGCCCACCCATTTTGGCTATTGTGATTGCAGTCATGCTTTTGATGCATTATTTATTAGCCTCCCACAAAAAAGTCTAAGAATTTTACCCTCAGTTCTAATAAACTGAACCACAAATTTAAACGCTGAAGCTGATTACAGTGTCGTAACGCAGTTGTTTACTTTCCTACATCCTTAAAGCTCAGAAATATAAATGACACAAAGGTCGCCCTTACAAAGTATTGTGTTGTTCTGGCATAAACAGCACCCATTTTCCTTTCTTATGGCTTCAAAGAGACATGTAAGAAGAGGGAACTGGGAACAGGATAATCTCTAGCATTAAAACAAACTCTTGTTCTAATATCTGGGACTTCATTAGCATTCTTTCATTCAAACTAACAGGCGTTGTTTCAGTGGAAGACACAAGATAGAAGGAAACAAAGTGGAGATACAAAGGGTATCAGAGGGAGTTGGTACAAAAAAAGGCATGAAAATCTAAAGCCTGAGGAGGTAAAGAGGGGGAAGTGAGACAATCTCAGAAACAGACAGAGAGAGACAAAAAGAAGGAAAGAAAGAGGGAATACAGATCAGTCAGCGTGACCTGTCCTTGCCCCACAAAAACAAATGACATCAGGGTGGCTGCCAATCAGCTGATGTGACTCAGAGAGGCTGTCAGAATTCACTCCAGCTTTATTTTCCTGTTCCTGACACTTCCCTGTAACTTTTATAAAAAGGAGACAAATGGGTAACTGTAATCACACCGCACATTATTGTAAACTGAACTCAGCTAACAGTGTTTTAATTACTGAATTTTTAAAAAATCTGCCTTCTGATAGAATCTAATTGTTTCACTACAATAAAAACCCACAGCCTTTTTATTCTTTGTGCAAAAATATAGCTTATGTAAACCAATCCGGCAACCGTTTCACTCCAATTCATGCGCAGACACATTAACAGCGAGAAAAAAATGCAATTACTCTGGTTAATGTGGCTTGCTTTAATTAGACGCATCTTTGGTGACAATGCAAAAACCATCACAAATGGCAGCGCAACAGGAATTCTCAATGACTGCCATTTAGAAGCCGACAATCTCACCGTCCTCTTATTGAGTGGAATCACTGTTTGGCTTTAGAGCAAACCAGAGATGAGAGGCCGGCTTTTGTTTACTCTTGTAAGGAATCAAGGACACAGCATTTCTAACGTTTTGTGCCAATCATCACAGAAGCTTGAAAACTGACAATTATTCAGGCAAGGCGTAGCAAAACGATCCATTTTTGTTGCATTCTGAACTTTTAGCAATTTAATCGTAAATATCAGATCTGTATATTTTGTGTTATTACTTTGTAGCTCGACTATGAGTTTATCTGAAAGTTCAAAATTTGATTGTGTATAAATGAGATGTGAACAAAACCCTTTGTTTAAATTGGAAAGGGAAATCCTCTCAGTGCTACACACTGGGGAATGCAGATATAGAAAAAAATCATTTCTTGTGAGAACCCAGAGGTTGAAAGTAAAACATGCCCCTGCTAATCAAGTTCTCTTCTGCTCCAGAACAACAATGTGAACACGTTTTAATAGTCGGTTTCTATAGAAACAGATCAATGCTGATTTCAATGATAAAATGCAGTTGAAGCCCTTAAGAGAAAGTTTTACTATTACAATATCTTTCACTAGAAATAAAATACAAATTAATCAATTCTGTAATCCACTGCGCCTGAATTAACATTTCAATGAATACAGTAGGGGGCATCATTTCCTTGAATGAAAAAGGGTTTTTGGGGTTTTTTTTTAAAGCAAACGCCTGAATCAGCAACTTTAACCGTCTTCTAATGATATGCAGTGTGTTTGAGAGTGAGATAGATGATGTGCTACAAATATCTCATCTATACTTGACAAACTGGGTGTGCAAAAGTGAAAGAAAGTCTAGTGATAAGAGCCCACAGTAGAATATATTTACTGCATATTAGTAAATCCAGACAGCAAAACTGTGTGTAATTATGACATATTTAGTCTCCTTAAACAATGTAATTTGGAAGTGTGAGTGACAATTAATTTCCCCTTTTCTTGACTTTCCCCCCACTATTGATGCATTAATGGTTTGGACTCTAAACCATTCATTTGAAAATGGCCTATGCTGGTCTCTCTAAACTTTAGAGAGACCAGCATATGCCATTTTCAAATACGCACTGCAGCCCTGAACTATTCTAGATGTCACCCAACAGAGGTGCTGAGGTGTGAAGATGTGAGAAAGCAAATGTCACGTGAGGTTTGATTGGACATCAAACGGTCTTCAATCTGCAATCTCCCCAGCACCAAAGAGTGCGTGTAAGCCAACTGAACACAATAATTAATTATCAGTTGAATTACCAGTGAGAAAGCAATGTTGTGTGCACAGTTTCCTGCACATCGTCTTGCCAGAACTATCACCTAAACCAAAACTGAAAGTTCATGTGTGAAAAAGAGGTTGTTCGATTTCTTATTTTGATTTCTCAGCAATCAAACTACTATAATGTCAAATTTAGAACAGGGAAAGTTGCAACTCTTCACATTTAAAAGCAAATATTTGTGCTTTTTGTGCAATAAAGACGTCAAAATTGGTTCCTTATAAAAATGCTTATGGGGCATATGTAGATTTGCCAAGTGCTAACTAACTGTATACATAATTCCCCCCAAAAAAACCCACAGAAATGAATTCAGGATCAAAATGTAAAAAGGCTGGCATCCCAATGACGTCTCTGGGGGAGGGAACCCGGAAACAGAAACCCCCCGTTGCCATCACCCCAGCATGATTTAAAGGAAACCTAATTGGACATATGCAAATGAAAGATGTGTTAAAAATTCCTCTTTATCATTGGGGGATGCATTTTGGCACCAGTTACCATAGCTCCATAAATTTCATCTTCCCCAGCTTGGGCTTGTTGTATGATGTCAAATGTGCATCCACTCCCTATTTTCTTTCTCTCTGCGTCTTCATTTCCCTTCACAGCGTACACCCAACCCCCTTCCATATTTTGACAAGAATCAATTACAGACACAGGAATGCAGGATGAAATGTGTGGCCTGGAGCATGTAGGATTTTATATCAGACCCCACACCGGTATGGTAGTAACGACAAGGGTGGGAAAACTATAAAAACAACCCTCTGCTTCACCTTGATTACCACACTAACGTTTCCAGTAGCTTGATATTTCTGGTAGCCAGAAGTATCAAGCTACTGGAAGTGCACTAA